AAAGAGTGACATAATTAGTAGATTGTCCTAGTTGAGATGTGTATTCTGTTAACTTCTAAGAAATGAGTCAGGTATTTTTAACTCTGTTACATAAGTTAACAGCCCTTTGCTGTATGAGCCCAAAAGTGAGATATTAACAAAACTGCCTTTAAATGTTGATGTTTTTAGCCTGCTTTTATTGTGTCCAGCACATATCTATCCCCATTTCAGTTATTTATTGTTCCCTGGTCCCTTGGGAAGCAGCATGGGGTTTGGTTGGGTTTTTTTTGCTAAGTATTGTAGCAGAATAGCTCTAGAAAAGAGGTGTTGGGAAACCCTTCGCTGCAGCTCCTTTGTGAGCAGGTTCAAAAGGTGGAATATTGAGAATTTATGAACAAAACCTGCCAATCACCTGCTGTTCTTTCTCAGTTTGTCCTCTTGGGTGTGTTTATGAGTCAGGTTGGTGTAAGGTTGCTGTGATTCTTGCGGATAAGAAGGGAGTTGATGTGTGGAAGTGACTTGGTAAATTATATGTAGGTAATTTACAGGTAAATTCTGGTTTTTCAGACCCAAATCTTCTGTACTCTTATGGCTGAAAAATCACAATGTACCCCAAAGTAGATTATCTCAAGAAATTTGAAGTTTTGTGATGACCACCCTCATTCCTGTAGCTTGTGAACTGCTGGGAAAATGCCCTAGGAGTCTGTTGGAAAATGGAGTATGAGGATCTAGTACTGTTCATCTGCCTTGGTCTTGTGAAAGAGCTGTCTTCTTCCTCCTCCTCCTCTTTGTGCTCTTCACTGTGTGGTGAAAGCTTGACCCTATCTGAGGTCTTTCCTGTTTTTCACATTTGCTCCAATTACTAGAAAGTGATACTTTGTATAAAATGAACTCTTAATGCTGTCTCAGATTGTGCTGGTTTGATCTGAAATCCATGTGTACTGGCAGCCTCAGTCTGGTGAGACTCTTTCCAGGAGACTGGGTTATGCCAGAAACTAGAGATCCTCTTTTTTTCTTTCTCTGCAGCTGGTTTAGTGACTTGAGTCTTTTTCAGTTCTACTGGTGCAGCTGAACAAAAAAAAATGCAAAGGAGCTACAGTGGGGAGAGATCTTTAAAATGTGTTCAGAAAGGTGGATGGGAGTCTCCTGGAATGATTGATACCTGGAGTAGGAACCCATCTCCTGGTCCATCTGCTGTCTCTTTCCTGTCCCTTCAGACTTTCTTGCTAATCTAATCGCTTCCTTAGAGGAGTTTGCAACGGGAGACTTGAGGAATATGTTTTGGAAAAGAATAGTTCATCTTTTCACAGTTTGGAGGAATGATTCTTGGATCGAGGCTGTGCAGAAACCTTTTCTCACAACATCCCACCCTCTTACCTGTCTAGCTCTGCACGCCGTGTGCCCGAGGTGCTGGAGATCAGCCTGCATGCCTGGTCTCTGCTAGAGCTTCCAGCAGCTCATGTTCAACTTTTTTAGTACCCATCTGAGATGTCTCTTGTCTCCACCCCTGTGGTGTAGTCCATCCTCCAGTCTTTCTGGACACTTGCTCAGCTGTTGATCTCATCCTTTTGCTGCTTCGTGTGCTCAGTGACACCTGTGCCCGGCGAGTTCGTGTGACCTTATTGCCTGTTGTTTCTGTATGTAGTTGAGTCTCATTTCTTCCTTTTGTTTTCTCCCTTTGTTCCTTTTGTCACTTTGGCTTGGACACGCAACTTTCATCAGACAAAGGCGATGACAGAAATGCAGGGGAGTCTGCTGGAGTCAAATGAGGTACTGATCCTTTCTATCTAACCTGTGTTTTAACATGAGCCCCTTCTGAAATGAAGGTCTGCATATTAAGAAGTCAGGAAAAAGAAACCAAACACTACAACTAGATACCAAATGAGCTTTTCTGTCCATGCCTGTTGTCTAGCTCTGCACCCTTCATAATTAGTACCCTTGTTGCTGACTGAAGCTGAACTCAAACCTTATCATAATGCTTCTATCATGAGTCTTTTTTTGTTGTTGTTGTTGTTTTTTCTGCTGTTTTTCCATATTTCACTGTCTGCTTTGGCTGCCTCTCTTGTTAGTAGCTTGTTCTTAATTTCTGACAGCCTTTCCCAAGACCCATAAGTGCAGCAATGCCTTTGAGAAGCTGTTGGTTATTAGATCAGGGCACTGTTGAGAACTGCCAATACAAATAGATGCTTCCAAAGATGATTCAGAACAAGCAGTTTGTACAGTGTGTCTGTGACTGTCGTCACCTGAGTGATAAAGAGCCTGAGGAGAATGTGCCAAGTCTTTTACTGGTGTTTTAAATTAGCTTTAGTTACTTTGGGTAAAGAAATCATTGCCTTACCTACAGAATTTGCCATTTGTTGGTTTAGGGGTTAAACCCAAGTGAAGTTGTGAAAATACAATGGTTTTGGTGGACTGCAGTGTTTCTTTTTTAAGCACCAACAGTGTAGGAAAAAAAAGAATTGTTGTACAAATCCACTCCTTGCAGAAAAGAGAATGTCATATAACTGCCAATAAGGTGAAAATGTCATCTCAGTACCCTGCAGTGATCAAAACTGTAGATAAAATCACAGAATCCCAGAATGTCAGGGTTTGGAAGGGACCTGGAAAGATCATCCAGTGCAATCCCCCTGCCAGAGCAGGAAGAAAATATTAAGAAAGGAATCAAAACCATAACAGAAGGTGTTGTGTACTGTTTCACAAGTTGTTGGTGTACTTATATTTGACTAGTGCCGTGCCAAGCTGAGATGTGGGATGACTTTTTCTCTGAAAAAGAACTGCTTAGGTTAACTTCCTAAGGTTGGAAAAAAGATCTCTGAGGGGAAGGGTGTACAATTCAAATCTACAAAATCAGGAGTGTGAGGAGGACCAGTTGTGGTCACCTGGATGGAATATTCAGGGTGAAATATTGGTCACTTACCAGTGGTCACTGACCAGTTGTGGTCACATGGATGAAATATTCAGAAATACTTCATCCCACTGAAATATTTCTGAAGTAAAGCAGCATGGGGGGGTAGTTATCATTGTGCCTAATTAAATTGCAGTGCCCTCCACTGCAGGACGTTGTGGAGGCCCAACACACAGCTGGACACGGGGAAGGGGTCAGTAAATTGGTGGGGGAGAAGACTCTGCATGGCTGTGTACGTGATGATGCTTGTGGCTGACTCAAGGAATCCCTGAGAGCAGCTTTCAGCCTTTTGACTCCTCTGTGTATCCACTGTCTGCCTTAGGATGGATCCAAAAAATGGTAATTAAAGGGTATAGGGCTTAATTGCACAATATGTTGTCTTTGAAAGTCAGCATATTGTGTAATTACACAAGAGAAGTAAATTAGAGTTGGGAGGTTTAAGCTTGTACATAGCACTTCTGTAGGGGAAAAAAAACCAACAAGCAAACTGAAAATTGCTGTGCCAGAAATGAGGGGCACAGAAATTAGGAAAAGAGTTGTAGTTGCCATGTTTCCAAAACTTCATGATGGGCAGAGTGCTGGACTAGATAAACTGATCCAGCATGGCCAGTTTGACATCATAGAGACCAAAAACTGACCTACCACATGGCAAAATTATTTGTGCAAAAGAGGAAAAATAATAACTAACCGCTTGGTTCTTTTTGTGTTCAGTGTGTAATGATTTAAAATGGTGGAATGTGCTGAATGGTGGCATTTCTGGTGTTAGGCAGAACTCTTTGGTGCACACCTTGCTCCTTGAGGATTGAGTTTCTCACTGGGAACTGACCAGCTGTAGGAGAATGTTGTATCATGGCAAAGGTGCTCATGTTTCTCAGTGTAATTAGTCAGATTTTTCAGTGTAATTGATGAGTGTTTCTGTGTTTCAGCCTTAATGTCTGAAGTACTTGACTCCAGTTGTGTTTGACCTGTTTATGCCTCATTTGCTGTTTGTTATGGCTGATACAAACCAGTGAGGGATTCTCACCTTCTCCCTTGTTTTAAATATTTACACAGGGCTAAACAAATGAGAAAGTGTAAAAATACTCATTGGGCAAAATAAAGATGGGTTACCAAGGAAGTATTTTAAAGGAGTGGAATGAACTGATGGATCCTGAATGTTTCTCAGGATATAAAGTGAGAAGAAGAGAAATGCTGGAACATGAAGTTCTGAGTTTAAGCCTAAACACCTTCCTCTGAAGGAACTCCAGAGCTTTCCTGAATGATCTGGAAATGCAAAATACCTTTGTTTGCTCGAGCACTTGTTTGATCACCTGTGTGTGGTTTTGTTCTCTGCACAAGTGGTATCACTCGATTCCTAACAATCCCTGCACCATGTTTTAACTTGAATCAATCCAGGTAATCAATCATCAATGTGGGAGTGTGTTTGGAGGTGAACACACATGCTGTGGTGGTTAAAAGTTGCAAGTACAGATGAAAAGATTTCGTGGGTGATTTTATTTATTATTTTCCTTTACTCATCAAGAAACTCTCCTTCCAGGCTCACGCTGAGGACTCTGTAATGGATCATCACTTCCGCAAGCCAGCGAATGATATCACATCCCAGCTGGAGATCAACTTTGGAGACCTGGGCCGCCCCGGACGTGGTGGCAGAGGGGGACGGGGTGGCCGAGGACGTGGTGGCAGGGCCAGCCGTGGAGGCAGAACTGACAAGGTCAGTAGCTACAGCTTTCATCTACGAAGGAGCTGAGTTCCCAGTTGTTAATTAGGATTTTCATACCGATAGTTTTTAGGTGTTTTCCTTGTTTCTAGGGAGTTGTCTGACAACAAACACCACGTTTTAAAACCAAATAAAACGTCTGTTCTTACAAGTTTACTTTAGAGTAGGTCACTGCTTGGACAAAAGGGTGAATGTTTAGTAGTGTTGTTATTAAACACAAAAAAGGGCAGGGTGAGGGGTAGGTTGGATTATAAAAAGTGTCCATTTTTGTATCTAAACCCCCAAAAAAATGACTCTTCAGTATGGACAGATCAGAACATAGTGTGAGACACTTCTGTTTGTGCCAGAGCAGAACCACGAGTGTTAGAGCATTTATTTTCAGACACAGTCAGGGTGGTGTATCTGCATCGTGACCTGTTGGGGGTGAAAGACTGGTTTACAGCTGCATGTTAAATCTTGAATTTGAGGAATTTAGAGTTTTCATGTGGAAATAGGACTCTTATGTTTTTTTAGGGTTTTGTTTTTTTTTTCTAATCTGCAGTAATTTTTTGCCTCCTCTAGTCCTAAAGCCCTAAGGAAATACTCAGGACTAAGTACTGAATGCACGTTGGGGAGGGAAGATGTAAAGCTGAAGTATTAGAGTACAGCTGCAGTCAAGATTTGATTTAATATGGATCATTTATTTGTCTTAAATGTGTCTAATCAAGTTGTTATTCACTAGAAAATGAGTTCAGTCTGTTTGGTGTGACTTTCTTCACCTAGACCAGACTTGCTCATCTTTGTCTCTTGTAGGACACTGACTTGGTTTTCTGTTTTGTACAGGATCACTTTCAGTTTTAGGCTTATTAGTTGAAAAACTCTCTCCTGATATCAATAAAAAGAAATTGTAAGGAATTAAAATTAAGTAGTGGTAATGTTTGCTCTGAGTTGCCTCACTGATATGGCATCTTGCTTCAAGAATGCTGTCATAAAGTAGTTAAAAAACCATTTCTGCAGTTAATTTTGTATTAACTTTGTTTATTTCCTTCCAGTTGGTGAAGGAGTTTGATGTGATCCACACACCCAACCAGGTTGGTGATCTCTGCTGGCACTTGTGTTACCTGTGAACAAGGCTCTCCTGTTGCAGGGGCTGCAGGGAACTCCCCTCCTGCAGTGGATTGCCCTTTTTTTTTTTGCTTTTTTTGGGGGGGGGCCTTTTTTGGGGGCCTTTTTTTTGCCTTTTTTTGGCTTTTCTGCTTTTGTGTCATGAACAACCACAGATATTAAGGCTGTAGGCTTAAGACACTGCTCTTTTTAACTCTATTTTGTGGGCTGGCTCCTTCTGCAGTGTCTTAGTCTTGCCTATAGGTGTTGATACAACTTTATTGGAATGATTTCAATATATTTCTTGATAAATTAATATGTTTACAGCAAATTCCACTATCCTGGCTTTTCCTACTGTTCTTCTCTTCCACATCCCTCATGGACAAAGTGCAGAGTGTTCTAAAATACTTTAAATTTCTGCATTAGCACTGGTTCTGAGGTACAGAGCCTTTTAAAAAACTCTGTTGGGGAGTACTGAGGAGATTCTTGATTGCTGTGTGAATTTCTACTGAAGTCCTGCTGATGGCAGGGGGGTTGGAACTGGATGAGCTTTAAGGTCCCTTCCAACCCAAACCAGTTTGGGATTCTAATTTCTAGGGCTAGGTTGGCACAAAAATTTCTTTCCATCAACAGCTAGTTTGTAACTGGGGAAAAATTACATGTGTGAAACTGAATTTGTGCTACAAACAGGCCTTTTTTGTAACACTTCAGTGGTGTCAGTAAGAATTGATGGTTATGTGCTGGTGAAATAGCCCAAGCCCACAGGTAGGGATCTCTTTAAGAATGGAAAAAGAGATGTACTTGTAACCTTGTGCAATAATCATGTGCAAACATGGTCTGTTTGCCTGTAGTGCCTCCTCAGGTGGCTTTGGTTCACGAAGTAGTATGGGAGATTTTTTTAGTGCTTGGAATTTAAACAAAAAAAAAAATTGCTTATTATGGAGGGGGAAAAAGTTGCTCTTGTATTAATTTGTCCAGTGCTAGTTTTTCTCCTCTGTAGTGTGTACCTCTGTGAAACCTGGTGTTTCCCTATTGAGGACAGGCTGAGAGAGTTGGGGCTGTTCAGCCTGGAGAAGAGAAGGCTCCAGGGAGACCTTCTAGTGGCCTCCCAGTACCTGAAGGGGCTCCAGGAAGGCTGGGGAGGGACTTTTCATAAAGGCAGTTAATGACAGAACAAGGGGAAATGGGTTTAAGCTGAAAGAGGGGAGGTTTAGATGAGACATTAGGAAGAAGTTCTTCACTGTGAGGGTGGTGAGACAGTGTCCCAGGTTGGCCAGAGAAGCTGTGGCTGCTCCTCCCTGGAAGTGTTGAAGGCCAGGCTGGATGAGGCTTTGAGCAACCTGGTCTAGTGGAAGGTGTCCCTGCTGATGGCAGGGGGGTTGGGACTGGATGAGCTTTGAGGTCCCTTCTAACCCAAACCAGTCTGTGATTAGGATTCAGGTTAAAATAGTTTTTTAAATGGAAGAATTCCTACTCTTGTTTGACTGGGAGATCCCTGCCCTGTGCAAGTGCCACCCAGTCTGTCTGCAGAGGGACAGAGGCTTAACCTTGTCCCTGTGCCCGCTGGCTGTGCCCTGTCCTGGTTTTTAGCTGAAGCAGAGCTGTGCACTGAGCCATATTTGCCTGGGGAGTGGAAGGATTTATTATTGCCTGAAGAATTAGAAACTCAGTAGGGCTTGGTGCTGCTGAAGGTAATAACTTTCTGATGTTTCTCTTTCAGTCAAGTGCTTCTGCTCCTGATGTAGATGACCCAGAGGCTTTCCCAGCTCTGTCCTAAACTGGATGTCATAAGCCAATCCTGCCCTCGTCGGGCCTTCCCCTCCGAGGCTTGCACGCTTATGGATCCTAAACAACTAAGAAATGAAGGCTTAAGGATCCTAAACAACTAAGAAATTTAAAAAAAAGAAAAAAAAAGAAAAAAAAAGAGACTGTCATTCATACCATTCACACCTAAAGACTGAATTTTATCTGTTTTGAAAATGAACTTCTCTCGCTACACAGAAGCAACAATATGGTAGTCAGTTTTGTATTTAGAAATGTAATGGTAGCAGGGATGTTTTCATAATTTTTTCAGAGATTATGCATTCTTCATGGATACTTTTTTGTATTGCTGCTTGAAAATATGCGTTTCCAAACTTGAAATATAGGTGTGAACAGTGTGTACCAGTTAAAAGCTTTCACTTCATTTGTGGGTTGGTTTTTGGTTTGGTTTTTTTTTGGTTTTTTTTTTGGTTTTTTTAATTCAGGATTTTAGAAATTTTCCCCAAACTACAAACTGGGTTTTAATTATTGCCC